ACTCAGTATTCACTTCCAACTTAAGTTACTGATGTTAATTGTTTACACTTAACTGCTGGCTTAAACGGTAAGATAAAACACTACGATAAATCCCATGAAATAGCGGGCCCGGTATAAGTTTTTGAGCCCGGTAAAACGCTAGTCACTAAAAATTAACGCTTAATGTTTAGCCTATTTAGTTATAATTCTACAAAAAAATTAAGTTAAGTTCTTAATTAAAGTGGTTTAAATACCTGTAATGTCGACAATCCAAGTGGTTGTGTAACAACTAGTTTCGGTTCACAATGGAGCCATCTTCAGGTTTTTCAAGAACATTATCACTTCTTCTGAGGTCGTCAAAGTTCACAAATAATTGACATACATAAAAACATTTAAAAACACGTAACACGTATGCCTAGCCCTAGCTTTAACGACGTGACCAGCGTGAAGTTTGGACGTATACTCCTGCCAGACACGTCGTTAAAGCTAGGCCTAGGCATGCGTGTTACGTGTTTTTAAATGTTTTTATGAATGTAAATTATTGGTGAACTTTTGACGACCTTCGGAAGAAGTGATAATGTCCTTGAAAAACCTGAAGATGGCTCCATTGTGAGCCGAAACTAGTTGTTACACAACCACTTGGATTGTCGACATTACAGGTATTTAAACCACTTTAATTTATTGTATCTCGATAATCCGGAGGCTACCCATAAAAAAAAGTTCTTACCTATAAGGTAAGAAAAAAATATCAGCACACAGGCACTTGATATTGAAATTTTAGTACTAAAATTTTACACCCTAATTGCTTTCTGATAAATCAAACTAATTCATACACAAGTTATTAGATATGTTTGATTGGAAAGGGCTAATTGCCTGAAATTTAAGGTGAAAAAGGACAGGCTAGCAAAGGCTAAAGACAGGTAAGTAGGCTTACCTTAAAAATTGTAGGCATCCCACTTCAACCAAAAAGAAATAACAAAGGAAAGCCACTTGCCCCTTTTTTAACATTGAGAGTCACTAGATTCTGGAAGTCATGCACTGGTAAAGGAAGATTATCCACGAAGGACTTAGTGACTCTCAATGTTGAACAAGGTGCCAGTGGCCACGAAATATTCAGTTTTTCATTTGTGATTTCTTTTGTGCTATTGTGGAGTGGGATGCCTACAATTTTCAAGGTAAGCCTCTTTATCCAGTCTGTTTTAGTTGTAGATTTTAACTTTTTTAACAATTTGTCGCATAACTCGTATAAGTTATGTACAAAGGTGAATGAGTAGTACAGAAGAACTTGAGTACAGTACAACTTTTACATGTGTAAGTCAACAGTAAATTCATTGTTTCAGTACGAAATGTCCTTGACAGATACACTGCAAAACACAACAGGGAAAAAGAAGACAGATCTGGAAACCTTGCAAACGTGAGTATTTCATTTCATTTAACTTATTTGTGGATTGATTCACCATTTTCACATAAATCACAGGAGAAATTACAATACTTGTTTGTTGAATATGCAAAAGACATCAATAAGCACATGCACAAAAAAAAGAATATGGAATGATGAATAGATAATACAATGACAATTATACTTTTACCATAAATTTAACTTGGGAAATTGTTTTAAAATATCTAAATTTCAACCACAAGAAGGCTTCATACGTTTTTCTTGAGTTGTAATCATGTATAGCGTCACATTATCTTTCACAATAGCAAAACTTAAGGGTGGTATGGATGAATTTTAAGACTGTAGCACCTATGTGAGTACTGTTTTACCGTCTATAGTACTAACCTTCCTCCGTATGCAGGAGCTCTGGACGTCATGCTACTGGCAATGGCTTTGGACAAGGTGCTACTGCTATGTTTTTAAGAGCATAAAGTGCGCTGTTGAACGACGATCAATCCCGGGACGTCCAGACTGTTTTTTGCAGTTATTGTACTTTTGGACATGATGAGATTTGGAGGTCATGAGACAGCTCAACATTTAATTTTGGACTTTTTGATACTGACGTATATCATTGGATGTTGTGCAACAACTCCTATATATAGATGGGATGTATAATTCCACTACAGGTCATGTGGGACATAAATTGTCTTCTACTTCCATTATACATAGCAAGAAACGTAACATACTTTCAGTATGTCTTCTATCGTTTGTATTGGAATAATCTGAAGAATATCGTCATCTTCACTAAATTGTTTTCCCAAACTTCTAGAAGATTTGGAAGAATGGAAACGGTTATGAATTTGATTTTTTTGTCATACTGCATCTGCTTTTTGTCTTTTACTCACTAGGGAGTAAAAAACCTTTTTAGTCCCTAGGGAATAGAAGACAGCTGTTATAAACCGGTCGTAAACTTTGATTTTAGGCTATCACATGTTTCAAAATTATCTATCGATTGATTAAATTGGTTGTAGCTTATCGTTGCATCCTTGTCAATAGTTTGACATATCAATATTATTATAATATACACTATAACAATCGTAATAGACTCTAATTGAAACACTCATTCACGAAACAGCTGCTTGTTTGCAATAGCAAAATTGAAAACGAGTTGGAAGTCGTGTTGAGAGGTTATCTTTACATAAAAAGTATTTTTTTCTAACTTAGTTTCTTAATTAATCTTGCAATATGACAAAAATATACATAACACAGGAAATAAGTCTTTTAAACCCTCGCTCAAGTTTCAAGATGGAGGCGAAGACGAGGTCGGAAAATGAACCACGGTTGAAAAGACACTTAACACCCTAGTGAAGAAAACTATTTTAAAAACTAAATACCATCATGAAATCTTATTGATCTAAAAAAAATCTAATGTATTACAAATTGCCCTTTTGATCAGGTTACGAAAACCAATCAAGATTCCTTGGTAGAAGGTCAAATCCAGTCATCTACACAACACGACTCGTCTGTTCTGAGAGGAGAAAAAAGGGTAAATATCTCTACTAGGCTAATTGATTTATTTTTTACAAATTAACATAGAATTGAATAGGTATAAAGAATTTTTACTAGAAACGTACATAAATTGTAAAAGCTTTAATTGAAATGATTACATACCATTGTGTACCTAATTAATTGTTTTGAGAGGATTTAATTTTTAAAGTTTGAATCAATCATGCATGTCACTTTACTATAAAAATACTCAATTCAAAGCTTGCGAGGTTCTTTGTAAACTCAACTCGACCCATAAATTTACTACTCGTATACACCTAATTAAAACCATAAAAAAAGTTGAAGTTGGTAGTCAAACGGCAAGGTGCAGTTGAGGTTAATTAGGAGACATGATAATATAAAAAGTTCATAGCAGACTTTAATGCAATTTTGGACGGCAAGTTGTTAGATTTAGCAACATTATACACACATTAGATTATTATAACGCATCAATAGATTATTATAGATTAGATTATTATAACTACTAATCTGTCTCTGCGCTTCCTACCCCCTCCCCCAAGTTCTCCAGTTATCAGCTGATTTACGTCTGATGCGTTGCCGCTGTGACGCAAGCGTCACAACCACACAACACTCAATTAATTGTGACTTTACTTAGCATTTCAATCAGGTGGGAAGAAACTACAATAGTGGTGGGGAGTAAGAACAGAACATTGTGCTGGTGTCAGACTTGGAATAGTTCGCTTTGTATTGATGGGAGACCTTGATTTACAAACAACCTCTATATAGATACACATACGTATCCTCTCCCGTTCCAGTTATCAAGAAATTTAACAAAATTGCCATCCTAGATTAGATCTAAAACGGTATCAGGGGATGAGTTTTCTGCATTGGCTGTTTAGACCTTCGACATACTGCCCGTTTTGACCCTCAGCAATAAGTACAAAATGCACAATGTATGCCGAAGGTCTAATTAGACCATCTGGGATTTAGACCTTCAGCAACTAATCCTTCCGTTAATGTGAGGCTCACTCATTTTCCATTCTTCTCAAGTAGCCAAACCATCTCTTTCTCAATTTCTCTACTCGTTCTCTCAAACTTTCTCCAACTCTTCGTTTCTAATTCTATCCAATCCTGTTTTCCATTTAATACCTCTTACAAACTTCATTTCCCCTGCCTGAACCCAACTCCATTCTCTCTCTGTTAATATTCCAAACTTCTGCACCATAGGTTATCGGTATATAAGTTTTATGTAAGATAATTTTTGCAGTCTTTGGTATATCGTTATCCCAGACACACTTGAGAATCTGTACCTTTCCCCAGTCTAGCCGTTACCTCTTGTGCCATCCTCCCATAGTTTGATAACACCGTGCCTAAATATGTAAATTTTTTGACTAACTTAAGCGGCTTTCCCTCTATTTTTCAAACTACTTTATAGTATAATACTTTCAATTAGAAGTAATGAATGTAAAATTACTATCCTAACCTAACCTAGCGCAACTTGCATTCTAAAGGGTTGGGGCAGAGCTAACGAATTTTGACCATTTAAGTATAATCATAATTTTTTTTCAGGTTCTTGATCTAGCGTACATTGAATCAATCAACAATGTGAAGAAGCAGCAGAAGATGTGATATTCTGAGATAAGATTAACTGAGTCTCAAAAAATACTAAAATTAAATAAAAAATAACTCATATCATCATTGTATTACATTGTACATAAATCAACTTCTAATATTGTGTAAATAAAAGTTTTTTACTTCCATTTAAGAAAACTGTACTATTTTTCCTTGAAAATCATGTACTAGTGCATAGGTTTATAAGTATAGTATACTAGCTTACCCCGTTGTGGCTTTGCTCACGAAAATTCACTTCTTCTTTTACAAAGCTTCTTATTGCACACCTAGACCTAATTCTCCATGCCAATTCCTGAGTTCTTATGGTTAGTAGTTTTTGAGTTTCAGTGATCAGAGAGTGGTATTTGACTTGTGTAAGTATATATTTCACTAGGGCGTAAAGTGACTCTTTTCATTAAGAGCTCAAGTTTCACGGGTGAGGGTTGAACAGTTACTATTTGTCCGTGTGATTTATGATCTTTATCTGAAAAGTGGTAAGGAATGAAAAGAACAAAGAATCTAAAAGCACTTTATATTACAGCTGTATTTTGGACATGAATTTTAACAACACAAGAGTATAGTATACAATTTACAATATTGTGCTATATAAAATATAAAGAACTACAACAAATAATAAGCTTTGTCTAATTCATAGAAGTAGTAAAAGACAAAGCTCAACTTTTTCATATTTACAAATACACAATCTTGCTTTACAAAAACCAAACGTAGAGAGAGGGCAGTAAGAAAAAATATACACAAAAATTATTGAAACAATTGTTTGTGCCAAGTTTAGTGTTTTTAGTTCATACTATGGCTTTATTTTAAATAAAGTTAGTAAAGTTTTCACCTGCAACAAAAAAGTAATTTTGACTAAAACATTTTTGAACAGTGAAAAAATGACAAAACTGTGTTACAAATTTTATTGGACATGCGTTAATAATTAAAATAATCACTATAACAAAAGTAAGCATTTAATGATGAAATCAATTGATTTTACAATCATAGCTGTCATACAAAATATTAAAGCTATTTGTATTCAGTATTAAAACTCACCCATTACAAACTATTACAATAAAGCACGGTAACTGATGCAATTTATTCAGATCATCTTCCAAAATATAAAAACTTTAAATAAAAAACATCACCGCATTACCTAATCTAATAATTTGGTCTACACGCTTATTTAGAGCTAAACATTTACAATTTCATACAGTTCAGGACACTAAGGTAAATACCAATATCATTACTACAGGAGGTTACATTTCATGGCAATAGCCCGAGCATTCGTTTAATTTTGGGCATAAAAGCCACACTTATGACATAATATTATGTTATAAGTACAAACAGGTTTGAGTAAATCTGTGCAAACAACTATTTAGCAAACTTGTTTTTATACCGTTATTGCAAAACGTTTAGTTTATTGTTCAAAATGTTCCGGACTCAACTTTTTTTTTGATAGTTTTCATTTCTTCCTATATTCAGTTAAATATTAGGATTCAGGTTGATATAATTTTTTTTCCTACAGTTACCTAACAATGCACATGTTATCTCACTGATTTGAGAAAGCAAAGTGGCCAATTCGCTCATCAGTGAGACAATGTTAACACTGTCTCACTCTAATTACTTTGTCTCACTCCAGATTTGCAATGTGAACAGTAAGCGCGTAACATGCAGACAAGGTTGTATGTGCGCGAAATATGTTGACAGCACTGGCTGTAAATCAGCTGGTCAGCTGTTGTACTGTTGTATTTGTCACTTCACATTAAATGTTATATTAAAAGTCACTTCTGTGTAAAAATATGTTACGTTTCTTCACCAATTTATTTGTTATATGGTAACTGTAGGAAAAATATAATGTGCAACTCGAGTGCAAAGTACAATTGCCTCACTCGAGAAACCATTCCTCACTCGCCTACGGCTCGTGAGTAAGGATTTCTCTCGAGTGAGTCAATTGCTCACTTTGCTCACTAGTTGCACAAATAACTATAGTTGAAATTACAGAAAGTTTTAAAAGTTCTAAAAAAAATCAGAAAAATTATTTAACATACAAAAATAATTCTATCCTGTCACATTTTTATTGTGAACACAATTTAGTTAGTTTTTTTGATGGTATATAATCCAATTTTTTTTTGCAAAAGAGCACATTTGGAACAGTTTATTTGTAAGCATTTTACCATAGAAAAGAGAAAAGATTACACGGAGAAAATCAATATAACCGATTTGGACTATTTGCAATAGTGCCTAACAGTGTGCTTACCCAGTTTCAAAAAATATTCAATTCACACGTGTAAAAATTCTGATGAAATGTAACCATCCAACCTCTGCACACAGCCGTCTTGGAAAATACACCTAAAGGGTAAATAAAGCAAGCTCATTGGACAGTGAAATCAACACACGTGCTTAAACTCCGCCTATAATTACTGATATATTATTGATTTTTATACAAATGGAATATATTACATAACAGAGTATGTTCCACTACACACAAGCAGAACAGCAACAGAGAATCTGCATTCCAATACTAATGATAATACGTATTGTCTATAGCACGTTGACAATCAAGTGAACTGCAGCTGTAGTAATCTCTAACTACATTACTGACTTGAACAAATTAATTGTACAATCCCACTTACGAGAGAAATAGCGACATTTACACCCACAGTAAAACATAACTATAACACTATCAATTAAAATGTCATATCAGTCATTTTCTCAATATTTTTACTACATGGTTATCTATATCTCAATAAAAATAAAGACTCAAAAACTTAGCTACAAGAATGAAGATTGAGATGCAAAGTAAGTAACATAGTATAAAAAAGGTATCTGTACAGAAACCATCCTCTTGATGTTATTTTCTATGTTTGAAAATAGTACAAAATAATTTGTATTTAACATTTGCCATTAACATAGAATGGATTTCAAAATCAGCTTCGAGAATAAATTCTCTTAACAAAACTATAAAACCGCTTGCCAGTGAGAAAACCTAGTTTGTAATAGGATTTTAAAGGTATGGCAAACTTATATTAGATTAAGGATGGAGAGGGAATGCTTTGCCAAAAGTACATAGGGGATTGGTTAACATAGGATAACAAAATATCTAAAGACCCTTAATTATTTATGAAAAAAAAAACATAGAACCACTTCAGTTAGCTAATACAGAGTAACATTAAGCAACCATTTGTAAAGTTGTGACTTGTGTAGCTATGTTTCTTTGACATATACCAGAACAAAGACAAACATAAAAATACAACAAGATGTTATCTATAAAATATGCATTATCTCTGTCTTAAAGAAACACCTTAAACACTGTGGTTACTACAACTACGCTTACTCTGGGATCGTATTTGTAAAACCTGCTGACTGAATGGTAAATTTAGGATTTACAAATTTGATATCAAAGAAATAATAGCAAAATGCTGTAACGCAGCAATCGTTAATTTATTGCACGATTATTGTACATCTTGTAGCCCTAGACATTCCTTAGACTAGAGCTGGTTTCATCACTCAAAAGAAGACACATAGATAAGATTTTTTGCATAATTTCGGAAAACAAGTGTATATTTTCAATGATGATGAGAAATTTTTAGCTCAAGCAGTACACAAATTTTGTAACCACCAATTAATTATCAGATCTTCATGTCAAAATGTAAGCTTAATGTTTTTAAAATAAATACATAACTATTTTGACAATTGAAATAAAAATAAATTCTTTCATAAAAATTAATCAAAAGAAATTTTGAGAAAAATTTCTCACAATTTGTCGATGATTATAACAAAATCATTGATTTTTTAACAACAATAAGGATAGTGTTTTATGCTGCCTCTTTGAAAATATATAAATTTTGAGCAGTGAACACTGAATAACTATTCGAAAAATATAATAACTACATTCGGTTCTACGACAAGAGAGAAAATGTTAAACTTTACAAGTGAGAGGGAAAACATGAAGAATAACACAGACTATCATTAGATTTCTTACGATATATATATTACAAGTTAACAATGTCCTAATGATATACATCATTGTAAATATAATTTAAATAACAAAAATAATAAAAAATAACACTGGTTAACAACTAATAGGCATATGTATATGAGACTAAACGGCTCTTTAAAAGAGAATAGAATAAATTAAATAGTTACAATAACCTAAGTCCGGAAACGATAGAAGTCACAGATCTTGGGCAACCCCAAGGCACAGCAGATTAAAACTGGTCAGCCAGCAGTTCACATATCTCTATTGACACTGGCTCTTTACTGGACCTGACAGTCAGCCTGTACATCTGCAACACGGCATACAACTCTTCTGTCACTATTTTAAGTTATAGGCTACAGGATGCGGAATGGTAAAATATTTTGAAAAATAATAAAGATACAGCTACAAAACATGGAACTAAATTACTGGGCATAAAATATTGCTATTCAGTGATACACTACCTCTTCGGGGGACAGCCAACTAGTTGTCAGAAGGGTAAATATTTCCGACGCCCAACTTACCTAAAACGTACTACAAGACGTTTTTAATCTGTTCTTAGGCACCAACACTACGACTTTCTTAGATGACTTTTTTATCGCCGGGGCTTCCTTTGACCCCTACATTCGGATATATATTCAGCAATAACTCCTACCATCTAGGGGACTGGTGGGAATTTGGGGTTTTGGGTGGAGAAAAAACGTGCTTAAACAACGTGGCAGGGCAGTTCCTTTACTAGGCACCACACCTAGATTACTAGACACCTTGTGTAGCTTAACCTAACCTAACCGTAATCTGGGCATGGTGTTTAGTAATCTGAGTGTGGTGTCTACAGGAAACCTTGGCAACAAAATATTAATCTGAGAAAGTTATAGTGTTGATGTCTAGGAACAGTTTAAAAACATCTTATATAACGTTTTAGGCGAGTTGGGCGCAGGAAATAATAACAGTCAGACGAAAATCTTAAAGTAGGCATATGATGATATGCACATTAGCACATTGCACATCAAGTTTAAGGTCTTTGATAGATTTGGCCAGGTAAGAGGCAACCTCAGGGTTTGCTGAAGAATTGCTATATCGCTTTTGAGAATCCACAATACTGGGTGTTTATAAAAGAATGCCGGGATTTTAAATGGTAATTGCTTGGATACTATTCTAGGAAAATAAATGTTTTAAACGTCAAATTGAAGCTAAAATAACTAAGTTATGCTTCCAGTGTAGGAAGGGAGGAAACTTTGACCTTGGCATGCGCAAAACAGGTAGGCCGCTCTTGCGACTCACACACCTGAGTTTGTCACTAATGCTGAGGTATGTGTTGCAACAGCTCAGAGTGTAATCTGTGGTTCACAGAGTTTATATCGATTGCTAAATTAAACTAAATTTAAATCTACTTATCGATAAAGAAATTTGATGAGTTTTGTGGTACCGTAGTGTTTTGCAAAAGAAATTCACCTGAAAGGCCCAAAACAAACGATGACTTAAGCCCTGTTCCCACAGAGCGAGTTTACAAGCTACACGCCGGCTTTTTTACACGCAGCTAGTACAATAGATCAGTGTGAACGATGTACTTGTTGAGCAAGTACATCGTGCTAAAAAAAAGCTGCTTGTAAAAAAGCTCTGGAAAAAGTTGACGCTGCCGCTACTTTACACGCCAACTCGCCAGCTTTTGAGCAAGTAGGCGTGTAAAGTAGCCCAGTGTGAACACAGTTGCTTGTGATTGTGCACATGTTATTCAAAGATGTCGGAGGATTTGGTTCAAGCCAGCTACTGAGCGAGTAGAAAAAAAGCATCGTGTGAACAACTACAAGCACACCCACTGACTCGCCAGCATCTTTCTACACACGTCGGCGAGTGGACAAGCTCCAGGTGAATGAATACAAGCGCACTTGCCAACTCGCCTGCTTCTTACACGCTGGTGAGTAGCTTGTAAACTTGCCCCGTGTGAACGAGGCTATAGTCGAAGAAATCCGACAATTCTGCATCAGAAGCCCCAAAACATCAATTGCCCGATGATGTCTTCAGTTGAACATACCAGTACCTAGATCAAAACTTCATGATTTTATCTATAAAAGATAGGCTTTGTGCCTAAAAATATTTGGTTAAGACATCAGATAAACCCGCCGATCATCCTAAGCGTACAGACTTAGCCAGTTTTACGCTCATATGAGATTGACGAAAATCTGAATTTTATTCCGAATTGTATCAAAGTATGAGAAAAAACTTTGTTCTTTTCCTTTCAATTCGACTAAATCATTTAATTATCTTGAATAGCCCCCGAGCAAAAACCGTTTAAAATCCTAGCGTTCTTTTAAAAACATCCTGTATATACTAGGGATGGACGGGATTGAATTTTTAGTTCGGGACGGGACGGGACGGGATTTTTATTTCCTTCCCAATTTTCGGGACGGGACGGGACGGGATTTTTTCTGTGTATAAAAAGAAAGTCTTGAGTATTGCATTTACAAAAAAAAAAACATACAAAATCAATTTTTACCGTTTGTGGTACTGATCTATAAAAACCAAAAAAGTGGGTAACAATATACAGGTACCTATAGAAACTTGTGACTCGCGGTCACGGTGCGATAGTCAAAATGACCAAGGTCATGGGTGATCGTCGGTATGACTCGCGGTCACGGGATGATCGTCGGTATGACTCATGGTCACGGCGCGATCGTCGGTGGGACTCCACGGTCACGTCGTGATCGTCGGTATGACTCCGCGGTCACGGAGCTATCGCCGGTATGCCTCGCAGTCACCGCATGATCGTCGGCATGACTCCGTGGTCACGGCGTGATCGTCGGCATGACTCCGCGGTTACGGCGCGATCGTCGGTATGACTCGCGGTCACGGCATGATCGTCGGTAGGACTCTCCACGTTCACGGCACGATCGTCGATAGGACTCCGCGGTCACGGCGCGATCGTCGGTATGACTCGCGGTCACGGCGCGATCGTTGGTAGGACTCCGCGGTCACGATGCGATAGTCAAAATGACCAAGGTCATGGGGTGATCGTCGGTATGACTCGCGGTCACGGGATGATCGTCGGTATGACTCATGGTCACGGCGCGATCGTCGGTGGGACTCCACGGTCAAGTCGTGATCGTCGGTATGACTCCGCGGTTACGGCGCGATCGTCGGTATGACTCGCGGTCACGGCATGATCGTCGGTAGGACTCCACGTTCACGGCACGATCGTCGATAGGACTCCGCGGTCACGGCGCGATCGTCGGTATGACTCGCGGTCACGGCGCGAACGTTGGTAGGACTCCACGGTCACGTCGTGATCGTCGGTATGACTCCGCGGTCACGGAGTGATCGCCGGTATGACTCGCGGTCACGGCATGATCGTCGGTAGGACTCCACGGTCACGGCGCGATCGTCGATAAGACTCGCGGTCACGGCGCGATCGTTGGTAGGACTCCACGGTCACGTCGTGATCGTCGGTATGACTCCGCGGTCATGGGCTGATCGTCGGTATGACTCGCGGTCACGGCGCGATCGTTGGTAGGACTCCACGGTCACGTCGTGATCGTTGGTATGACTCCGCGGTCACGGGGTGATCGTCGGTATGACTCGCGGTCACGCGCGATCGTCGGTAAGACTCCGCGGTCACGGGGTGATCGCCGGTATGACTATCGTCGATAGGACTCCGCGGTCACGGCGCGATCGTCGGTATGACCTGCGGTCACGGCGCGATCGTCGGTAAGACTCTGACACGGTCACGGCGCGATCGTCGGCATGACTCCGCGGTTACGGCGCGATCGTCGGTATGACTCGCGGTCACGGCATGATCGTCGGTAGGACTTCACGTTCACGGCACGATCGTCGGCATGACTCCGTGGTCACGGCGTGATCGTCGGCATGACTCCGCGGTTACGGCGCGATCGTCGGTATGACTCGCGGTCACGGCATGATCGTCGGTAGGACTCAACGTTCACGGCACGATCGTCGATAGGACTCCGCGGTCACGGCGCGATCGTCGGTATGACTCGCGGTCACGGCGCGAACGTTGGTAGGACTCCACGGTCACGTCGTGATCGTCGGTATGACTCCGCGGTCATGGGCTGATCGTCGGTATGACTCGCGGTCACGGCGCGATCGTTGGTAGGACTCCACGGTCACGTCGTGATCGTTGGTATGACTCCGCGGTCACGGGGTGATCGTCGGTATGACTCGCGGTCACGCGCGATCGTCGGTAAGACTCCGCGGTCACGGGGTGATCGCCGGTATGACTATCGTCGATAGGACTCCGAGGTCAAGCCGCGATCGTCGGTATGACCTGCGGTCACGGCGCGATCGTCGGTAAGACTCCACGGTCACGGCGCGATCGTCGGTATGACTCCGCGGTCACGGGGTGATCGCCGGTATGACTATCGTCGGTAGGACTCCACGGTCACGGCGCGATCGTCGATAGGACTCCGCGGTCACGGCGCGATCGTCGGTATGACCTGCGGTCACGGCGCGATCGTCGGTAAGACTCCACGGTCACGGCGCGATCGTCGGTATGACTCCGCGGTCACGGGGTGATCGCCGGTATGACTATCGTCGGTAGGACTCCACGGTCACGGCGCGATCGTCGATAGGACTCCGCGGTCACGGCGCGATCGTCGGTATGACCTGCGGTCACGGCGTGATCGTCGGTATGACCTGCGGTCACGGCGCGATCGTCGGTAAGACTCCACGGTCACGGCGCGATCGTCGGTATGACTCCGCGGTCACGGGGTGATCGCCGGTATGACTCCGCGGTCACGGGGTGATCGCCGGTATGACTCAGCGGTCACGGCACGATCGTCGAAATGACTTCGTCTCCTGCGTTCGCGGACCTATCGCTCGCAATAGCGGCGTCATCGGCCCTCGCGAAGCGGCAAAATCGCCGACGATCGGACCAAATCCCGTCCCAAAAATTCCCGATTAAAATGTAATCCCGTCCCGAAAATCGGGAATATTTTTTTCCCGAAAAATTCTCGAAATTTCGGGACCCGTCCATCCCTAGTATATACACAGCATGCTGGAAATGTGAATAGTCTGAGGAGACTGCACAGTTCTGAATAAAGTAAGGGAAATCACTTTTGGAACTACGATATGGGCGGACACCCTCCTTAAGAATGGGTCATGAACAGGATTGAGGGTTTGCAGAATTTTTTAGACAGAGAATTTGGTGGGAACCAGAAATAATTTCAAGTCAAGCCGAGTTTGTTTCTCGCAATATCACCGAGATATTGAGATTGTTTGAAAGACTCTGAGACATCAAACGGGGAATACAAAAAGCCCATATAGGCTGAACATTTAGGCATAACTGGTTTAGTATTACGAGGAGACTTAAGCAAAAAATTTACACTTTTATAAGGTCCGATTCCGATGCAAACGAATATTGCAATACCCTTTTACTTTTCAAACATTTGATTTAATTAAACAAAATGCAAATCACTCTTTGTGTTGTAGATCTAATAGCAAATAATTAATTAATTGTTAATTGGTAGTTTTATTCACCTGTTAGTTTGACAACAAACGATCTCAGTTAGGTGAATAAAACTACCAATTTACAATTAATAAATTTATTTGCTATTAGATCTACAACACAAAGAGTGATTTACCTAACTCAATCAGGTTACAGTTATTAAAAGTAGCCTATTTTAAATAAATTTCATCAACAGTTTTGTCTCCTGTTTACAATCTGACTGCAGTGAAAAAGTCAACAGAAAGATCAGCTGTTCATGTTTTAAATTCAGATTTTAAACCGTTATAAAGAAAGTTGGTCAGCATCACTGAATCTTTGAAGCAAAATCAACACAACATCAAACGCTAGGGGAGCAAAGCACTAAAGAAAAGTACCTTTCTAATTACCATTTGAAGTTGTGTAGATCAAAATTCCACCTTACTCGTAAAAATCAGTTGAGTAGAACGGTCTAAAAAGGGGTTTACGGGAAACTTAAGGGGGGGGGGTGTACTTATTGTATTAACTATACAGATAATAATAATTTGATATTGTTGTTACCTGGGCTTGCTTGTTGGGTTCCAGACGCAGAAGACAACCGATCTGCTGTGTGCGTGTGTGTATGATGCCAGCACACACAAAGTTGTCCGGGTTGGGGTCTATACCATCCAGGAGCTGCATGCCAAAGCCCAACACCTTGGTGCGAGCTGCTGTCAAGTCCATTGACTGTGAAGCGCGAAATATCTTCTGAGATTTCTGTGGGTTACTGCAAAAAATCATGCCACCATGTATTATATGCAGACAAAACAGATATAAAAAATATGTCTTAGAATACCAAGGTTTAATTCCATATGAGGTTAGAGGTTATCTTTGCTCTTCTCAAGTCAGGCCTTTGTCTTAAGATCTAATTAGGGGGGTACAGGGGTTTTTAAAAGACTCAACCTGGTGTTTTCGCAAGCTCAAAGAATATGTATTGTAGGTACTTTAAAGTAAACTAGTTGCTTTGCCCGTGCTTCGCTACGGGATGAGAATGAAGAAAAGAATGATTCGGTTTTACTATAAGATACTATAAGAAACAGTTACAACACACTTACCAGGAAACATATATAGGCAAAGGCTCAATCGTGCTTATTGATTATTTAAATGAAGATCTTTTAATATTTTACAATCATTTTATATAGTGTATTGCATTTATAATATATGAAAAAGTACAATTCATTGACCACATGACACCAAGAAAAATTATTCTTGTAAACAAATTAAACTAAATAGCAGAACAGCATTTCTGACAACAGCTGGAGTTTCATAACAATGTTTGTTTCCCATGTTAATCTTATGGAGAAATACGAATCTTTAAAGGGACCCGGGGCCTCACTCTCTAATTATTTCCCTAAAAAGAAAGTTTCCTGCACAACTTCACATTACGCTCTTTCCAATGACACCAAAAACATGTCAATTGGTTCAGTAGTTTCGGAGGAGTAATTGTCACAAAAAACCTGCTTGCGTATTAAATAAGTAAAATAGATAATTGGTTTTATCGCAAGAAAAGTTTGAAATAAAGTTTCTAGGTGTGATTTCAGTTCCTAAAAATCAACTATTAGAGAATTGTCAAAATTGAAGGAAGCCGGATCTGTAAAAAACAAAACCTATGGACTTTTCACACTCGTTGGCAAAAAAACCATGTTGAGTCTAAATTTTTTGTCTCAAGGTTTTGTATAAGGGCCAATTTTATTCCTAGTTAATGTAAATGATCTGTCATATTGCACAAATTCCTCAAAGGCCATCATATTAGCTACGGGCCGATGACAATTTGAATGTGTACACTTTTTTTATATACCTTTTTCAATAGCTACACTTTTGTGTAATATTTTTTATGCTGAGTATAAGACTAGCCTTTTTGGTACTAACGCTTAAAACCGACTGAAAATGGAAAACTAATTAACTAAGGGATTTTCTAATGAAGCTTTTTCTGGCTTCTTTGGATGCTTACCCTCCAAGATTTTTCCACCTTGCAAAGAAGGACTCTCCATTCATTTCAGTTGGTTCAAAGAACTTGTTAAGTGTTAGTGGCAACTTCATAATGACTTTCTGTGGTACGTTGTTGTACATAAATGCCACAATCATGGATGGTGAATCTGAAAGAATTAAAATATCACAGATTGTCATAAATGGGTAATTACTTACACTCATACACTATTGTGATATTCTGTCTGCACTTAACTAAGGAAAGACTCACTAAGAAAGTACCTAATCTTGATCCAACCCCATCTAAATTTGGGTCAAGTTAAAAGAATTAACATAAACAACAAAAGACTAACTTAGTTTAAGCTGCCAGCTAAACTCTGGCAATCATTCACAATGTAACTAGACAATCAAGTGACATCATTATTTTGGCGTAATTGCACAGGAGATTACATGGAAATTTCTGGTTTCTAACATCACTAATTCATAAAAAATGTCAATCCCAAATGGCAAAGGCAATGTAATGTGTGGCTATTGCAACTACAGAGTTCGCCACTTAGCCTTGAGAACCTTATGTAAAAATTATGTTTGTGTTCTCCGACAATATGCGGCCAGATGGGTTATCAGATGTCAATAACTGACCTGTGTAGTCCTCTATACACTCGGCATTGACCATCTGTTGTATCTGTGCACCAGCCTCCAGCACAGGTTCAACGGCCCTCACTTGAATATTCAGCTTGTTGACCCACTCCCCTGGGTTCTGCAATGTCGCTGAGAAACTCTAAAAACATACAAAACAAATCATACAAATTTTTTAGGATTTTTTGAGAGGATAGCAGGCTTACCTGAATGGGAAAGAGTCCAAACTGGCACAGGAAACACAAAACATAACTTTACACTATGGACACTACTTTAAACTATAGTGTAAAGTTATGTTTTGTGTTTCCTGTGCCAGTTTGGACTCTTTCCCATTCAGGTAAGCCTGCTATCCTCTCAAAAAATCCTAAAAAATCTAGGCCCTTGTGCTCTATGCTACACCCTTAAATCATACAAATTGCAGTTTTTAAATATTACTCTGAATAAATAATCACAAAATTAAAAACTAATTCTTAATCCGCAAATAATTAATAACTTCTTAAAATAGTGATGTGTCGATAAAAAAATCTATTGATTCTCCATACAGATACCTAAAAAATAGATTCTCTATACCGATAATTTTATTTTTATCAAATTTTCTGTAAGGATTACTACACCAATCAATGTCTTTATGTACTTTCATAAAGTATATAATTTTGGAGTTATGGGTTTTTTTTCAAGTGATGTTATCATCGTCCTCCGCGATCGTGTAACATCGTCATTGTCTCACAAATCACGGCAAAACCATGAACATATACTGCGACTGTGTGGACATCATCATCGTCTCCCGCGGTCAATTTAACGTTATCATTGTCATGCACAATAGCGGTAGATTTAAAATCCCCAGTAAAAATACAAAATTCACTCATAATTTTGCTAAAACCGGTAAAACCGACAACCGACTTTAACAACCGGGAAAAAACCAAGAATCTAGGGTTGGGTCATCCCTAAATCCCTGGGTTTTCCCCGGTAAAAAAACCACACATAATTCCAGGTTTTCCAGATCGGCGGGTATCCTTATTAAATTATTTAATTAGGTAAGGAATAAGGTAAGGTTACTCTAGGAATTATAATTTTACAAATATTATGTTGTGTAAATAACATTACTGCAGGTAGATGACCATAAATTTGAAAAAGTAGAACATTTTAAGTACTTAAGGGTTATCTTATCCAGGGAAAACAAAGAAGAAATAGAAATTCAAAATAGACTAAATCTGGCAAACAGATGTTTCTAAGCTTGCAACAGTCTGATGTCCTCTAAGTTACTGTCAAAAAACACCAAAGTTAGAATTTATAAGACAATAATAAGCCCAGTATTATTATACGGAGCTGAAACATGGAAACCAAATAAAAAAGAAGAAAAGAAGTTAATAACATTCGAAAATAAGATTTTAAGAAAAATCTATGGACCAATTTATGAAGGTGATGAATGGAGGAAGAGACACAACAGAGAACTGAGAGAACTCTACAGAGATCCAGATGTGGTGTGTGAATTTAAGTGTAGAAGAGTTAGATGGGCTGGACATGTTTTACGAAGAGAGGAGCAAAATAAGTTAAAATTAGTTTTACTAAGAAATCCCGAAGGAAGACGACCGAGAGGAAGGCCAAAACAAAAATGGTGGAGCCAAGTAAAGAAAGACATGGAGCAACTAGGAGCAACTGAGGAGGATGCAGAGGATAGAGCAAGATGGAGAGGCTTTGTTGGTGCGGCCAAATATCTTCTTAGATATGCATGGCCCTGAGAGTAAGTAAGAGTAAATAACATTACACAATAACACAATAAAGTAAACTGAAAGGTACAATTAAGTAAGAAGAATGTCAGTCCTAGAAGAAAGATAACCATACATTATCCTCATTAAAAACCTCACCTGAAGAGGAAATGATGTCTTGTTGCCGTAGAAAAGGCCAAGCCTACCAAGGTTTTGCCGAAACTCACACTTGACACCGATTTGAATAAGGTCATTTTCAAATAGCACTCCATTATTTTTGCACACAAACCTGAAAAAAACATTATGTCAATAGTATTACTTAATTTAGGCACCTCAGTCAGATGTAAAATGCCAGGAATTATGTTTGAGCTAATTTTCTGCATGCTCTTTAATCTAGCCAGATACAACTGGAGGTGAAACTCCTTAGGCATTTATCTTAGTAAAGTCAAAGTAGAAAGATATCACAACCTTCAGCCACAATCAGGTCACACACATTCAAAAAGTCTACTCAAAATAAATATATCTACTTTTAAAAGACAATCAAGAAATTATGGATTTTTAAATATAAAAAGTTTGGCATTATTATTTACTGGAAACGTTCCACGCATGGTCAGTTAGTCTATGACATAGACTAACTGACCATGCGTGGAACGTTTCCAGCAAAGCAAGTCTATGTGAACGGGCAAATGCAAGTCTAAAAGAGGAATAATAATGCCAAACTTTTTATATTTAAAAATCCATAATTTCTTTATTTTAAAATACATTACATAGGCTACCAAAATATTGATAGTTGAAAAGAGATATTTTGAATCTCAAAACTACAAAAATCTTGATAAATAAATACAGTACTTGTTAAAGTGCCTAGTTAAGGTTATAAAAAATATTATAGGGAAAAGTTTAGTATGCAATATGCAATTGCAATTGAAGAAAATCAGACTCCTTAATCTGATTTCAAAATGATAAATGAGACTAATACTTAGGCTACTTCAAACCTAAAATAGGATAACTTTTCTTAATAGCCTGTGGAAATATTATTATTGGCGGTAACCTCGAGCAACGAGAAATTAAAAACCCACTACCCTAACGTGCACACTAAGGCACAATATGCGTTTCCTTCTCAATAGCTAGACGAAATATAATCGCAACATGAGAACACAAAACGACATGACCAGAAAACTACGATTGTATGCTATTATTTTGAAGATACGCCAGATTCTGTGAGTCCAGTCATGGTCATAGACTAACTGACCATGCGTGGAACGTATCCAGCAAAGCAAGGACTGAGCTGATACAGTACGGAGGTGAACTGTACTGATAAAATGTTCGTGGCATACCAGGATCCGAACCTACTACATTGCTGCCTTGGGCCCGAAGTCCGCGACGCTACCGACTGAACCACCGACTCACCGTAAGTTCTCCTATACTATTATATATAGGCCTATATATCAAATGATTGAAAAAAGTTAAGGTACCTCAAAACTAAAACATTACTACTTAAATGGTGAAACGATACTCAGGATGGTGAACAGTTTCAAAGAATGTAAATAGACAATAGATTGTGATAGTTACTTCTTGGGGTTGTAGGTGTTCTGTGTGGGGGGAGCTGGACTGCTGTTGTATATATCACCCAGAACATCCACCAACACTCCGGTGTTGGAACTGGGTACAGAGGGAGTCGACAGTCCCAACAGGTCAGTGGCCACGTTGTTGTTGGTGTGAGAAGTCTGCAACAAACAATATCAACAGCTGTAACAAAGAGCACAAGGTCTAGAATGACAGGCTTAGATAAATGGTCCACTCCAGCACGGGAAATGTAAACATTCAGCTTCATACAAATTAAACATAATAGCTATGTGTAAGTATAAAGAAGTGCTTGGATAGAAAGTGATTATGAGCACTTCATTTGTAATATGTTTACTTAAAATTGGTAAAATAGGCCAACTTAAAATATCATTCCTCGAAATAATATTTTTATTCCAATCAAGTAAAATTATTCCTCCTAGGCTAGAATAAAAAAATATGTATACATAATGTCCCATAAGTAAACACCTGAACTCCGAAAAATCATTCTATGGGTCAAAATAAAGAGAATATCAAGAAGAACATATTTTCCAAAATCGCTTTGTTATCTGCCACCAGATATCCGCCATTTTGTTTATTCACAGAAACATTTTTATCTTAGAATTTTTTCAACCGATCATTATGAAACTTGGTATATATGTTGAAATAAAACAGACCCACGTAAAAAAAAATTCATCTTAATCCAATCCAAAACCACAGCTGTTAAATTTTTTAAAATTGAAATAGCAAAAAATGACTAATTTTATGAAAAAAATGTCTAGGAACACTTTGATTTGACATTTAAAATTTCCTACCAAACTACACAAAGTTCAAAAAGATTGAATACAAAATTAGGGAAATATCATAATTTATAGCTGTAAATGAGGAAAACCAGACTAGCTTAGCCTTGTTTAACCTCTTTTTGCACCTAAAAATTTTGGTAATTCAGTTATTTTTTGTAGATCTTATTAAACTTTATGTCGTATGATAGGAGTTTTTAAATGCAAAATTTAAGTGTTCTAGACATTTCTTTTGTAAAAATAGCGATTTGATAGTAGTTTTAAAATTAAAAATTAAAATGGTCGCAGCTTTTTGATTTTAGATTAAGATATTTAAAAAAATACAAAACCAACCCACCCTTTGCTCTATCCCCCCCCCTGGAAATTTACCCTTACAATCAAACTTTCCCCACCCCACCCAAAATCATGTCCTGGATCCTCCACTGTCCCACTATAATGTGGATTGAGTATTAAATGTAATTTTCTTACGAGAAATTTTTGTTGATTGCCCTTGCCAGAAAACAAGACATCAATGGTAGAACCATTCTCTAATGCAATGCAGATATCAAGCCAGCTTTTTACGACCCAACAACTGAACCAACGATCACACATTTTCAAGAATATTGCAGAATGTTAATACTATGTTCACTTTGTAGACACTAAGACTCACATGCGTTGCCGTCGTGGTGGTAGTAGAGTCAGCTTGATGGTTATGAGAGTTGTGTGCAGGTCTGATCTCGTTTTCAGGCACTCGTCCCGGCTTCTTCTTCTTCAGCACTGCAAGGATTGATGATTCCCGTTCTGGGAAGGATGGCATCTCTTCTAGCACCGTTGCCTGAAATTGATTTTATTCATGTGAAACAGTTCAAAGGTTTTGAGTAACAATAAAGAGTAATTAGGTGCACAGTTTTCTGTGTTAATTCTTAATAACAACCAAAAATAAATTCGTAACATCAAAAAATTACCATATATGAAAAGAAAGAAGAAATACACAATCAACCGACTTAAAACAGGTATGACTGTAATAGCAATCAACAAAATTACTAACAAACGTTGTATGATACTTTGAGGTTTGACGATTGTCAAATACTTTAGTCCTGGTAATAGATTAAATCTGCCTGAATAGTTTGGCAATCAAACGAGGCTATTCAAGCTTCGGTCGCAATTGACAACAGCATCTTACAAAAACATCTAACACGATTGGAACTGCTGACAGGTATCTTAAATCTACAACAGTTGATACAGTAGAGTCCCGCATACTCGGCACTCGATAACCCGGCAGTCCGGATAACTCGGCCATCTCCTGGCTCGGAAAATTATAGATTTTTTAGTCCGAGTTAAACATGGACTCAAGCCAGCTCAAATCAAGTCGTTCGCAACACGAGTACAGTACAATATTTTGGATTAATGTTGGCTGGAATGGAGCGAGTAAGGCACGAATTTGAATGCGAACAAATGCCGTACTCACGCCCCCTATAAAAAAAGTAATTTCTGGCCATATATGGCCATATCAAAATTCCATGTATGTTTTTATAAAGCCATATATGGTTTTTTATAGCCATATATGGAAGCAGATATGGCCAGATGTGGTTGTATCCATATATGGGGGTGTCCATATATGGTCATATATGTAGTCTATATATGGAATTATTGGCCATATATGGCCATACATGTTTTCTATATATGAAATGATTGTCCATATATGACCATACATGTTTTCTATATATGAAATGATTGTCCATATATGGCCATAAATATCCTCCAATATGGAATTATTGTCTATATATGGCCATATATGACTCCCAGGTATGGAATTAAATTACTCATATATGGAATAATAATTTTCCATTTATGCTCATGTATAAATGAGTTTTTGACAATAACTGGAATTATTATAAGGAATTGTTGCCACATTTGGGTTTTGTAACTGGAATCCCAAACACTTCTTATAATATATATAATATTTTTGTTGCTCTCGCAAGCACAATTTACTGAACTGATTGAGTTGAAATGTGGTACAGTAAGGGGGCAGATAATATAGGCATTTCTCCTTTAAAGTAATTAGTAGTAAAGTAATAAAGTGTCCAGATTTGAACCCAGATGACAAAATCCTGTACATACATCTATTGTACAATTTTATTATAACACAACAAAATCTTTAAACTGACGTATAATTTTAAAATTGTAAGTGTAGTGGCCTATAAATAAGGAGAATATTATATTAATAATTAATTAATTGTACCTTTGCTATTAAACAGCCGAAAATATCAATGTCACGCAGTTAGGCTATTTTAATGATAACAAATTACATAAAATGTCTTAAGAAAATCTTGTTTTACGAGACCAAATACAGCTACTTTTATTCGTAATGGGTTTTGTTGACTGTACTGATATGAAGCGGTTGTGGTGTAGTGGCTAAAGGGGCCGACTCCCACGCTGGAGTCCCGGGTTCGAATCCTAGATGGCTGTTAGAAAATTTTGTTTTGAAATTTTCGTATAACAAATTTTTATCAAGGTTTTAATGCATAGTTTATACCATTTATACCATTTATTATACCATATATTATACCATTTATACCAGCGAGCCAAAGGCGAGTCTAACTAACTATACAGCCCGATGTGTAACTGACTCACTCACTCACTGGGGATACTAATTCTAGACAACTAACTATACAGCCCGATGTGTAACTGACTCACTCACTCACTGGGGATACTAATTCTAGACCACTTCTAGATGAGCTAGAGACTTGAGATTTTCGGTGGTTGTAGGTCTAGTGCCCAAACCCCCGGGAAAATTCTAAAAAGTGACATTTTTTTATTTTAACCCCCCCGTAATCTCGAATTTCCCCCCCATGTTATTCTTATGGGAAATAGCATAGAAAATTGCCGACTTTGGTAAGCTCATCTGAACAACTTAGAAACGTGCTAGAGACTTCAAATTTGCGTAGTATTGTAGTGAGAGATCTTACGTTGGCGGTGGAATGTGCAAAAGTCCCATTTTCAAATTTTAACCCATCCAAAAATCCAAAATGGCGGACCTCTGAAAATGAAAAAAACACTTTCTTTCAACCGGATGTAGCTCGAAAACGGTAAGAGATAGAAAAGATTTGAAAGTATATCCAGGAACAGGAATTAAATTTTCTACAAAACCCTCTTCAGCGTTTTCCAAAAATCGGACTCCTTCAGCTTAAAAAAACGGCCTACTTTCAAAATTTGGTAAATTTTTATTAAATTTTTACCGGTTTTCGCCATTTTTTCATACTTAAACAATTTATTTTTCAAAAATTATTATTGCTTTGTATTCTCCTTACTTTACTTTAAATTTTACTCATTACATGTTTTTTCGTAACTTCACTCCTTGACCCCCAAAACTTAATTTTAATCTCAAAATTTGAAGGTTTTTTGCCACTTTTACGAGCCCCATGTTATTCTTATGGAGAATAAGATTGAAATTTAATGACTTTGGTATGGTCATACGAATCGTTTAGAAACGTGCTAGAGACTTGGAATTTGGTAGTATTGTAGCAAGGGATCATAAGCTAATGGTGAAATTTTCAAAAGTCCCATTTTCAAATGTTAACCACCCTAAAAATCCAAAATGGCGGACCTCTGAAAACGACAAACACGTTTTTTTCAACCGGATGTAGCTCGAAAACCGTAAGAAAAGATTTGAAAGGATCTTAGCGAAAGGAAATTAAATTTTCTACTAAACCCTATCAAGCGTTTTCCGAAAATCGAACTCTTTAAGCTTCAAAAAACGCTCTACTTAAAAAATTTGGCAAAGTTTTATTAAATTTTTACCGGTTTTCGCCATTTTTTCATACTTAAATAATTTTTTTTTCCAAAAATTATTATTGCTTTGTATTCTCCTTACTTTACTTTAAATTTTACTCATTACATGTTTTTTCGTAACTTTACTCTTTGACCCCCAAAACTTAGGTTTAATGTCAAAAATTACTGTTACGAATCGGTGAATTGGTTCTCGCTCTTATTTCTGCGTACTCATTTGACTACCCTAGTTGGATTTGAGTTGCATACTTTAACTCTAATTTTTCGAAGTTCTTCGTGTTATTTGAGTATTTATTGCTTATTATGGATTTTACGTGCGTTGCTGTTGGATCCTTTCACCAAGGAGATCCAAGATTCATTGACAGTAACAACTCTCAGTGTGTGGCCAATGCGGCCTGTGCTCTAGCTTGGCAAGTGTTCCACGGTGGTTTCAACACTAATGCTATCGATGAAATACTCACGGCCGGTGATCGCTTGTATAGAGAATCTCGCCGTGAGTATAACGTTGGTAGCCGGTACTTGTTCCCCGAGGAGCTTGCCAGGCGTTTTGAAATTGCAGATAGGGACGTCACCGTCGAGGAAATGTCGTTCGTCTGCAACGGATTGTACCCAGCTAATGTAGACAGCCTTGATGAGGCAGTGACATCACTGTCAACTGTCTTGGAAAGTTCAATGCCCGTTGATTCTCTCGACGGCGGGTTTCTGTTCACGGGGCAATTAGTGACTGTGGCCTTTTGGCGTCACCGAGAACACTCATATCTCTTTGATTCCCACGCCGTGAATAATATCCGCCGTAGAGATGTTGTCCCCGATAACAACAAAGCGAGGCTATTTCAATGTGGTAGTTTCACTGCATTGGCCTCACTTTTATTGACAAATTCCGCGTTCGTCGGTGGAGAGTACAGCATCATGAGACTCAAGTTTTCGATTGACTGTACAAACCAACCGATCGAACATGCGGTTATTGATCCAAATCCTATTCCCCCCTCCCCGACGGTTTCAGATCCCGTATTGGATGTCAAAAAAGGTCCTGGCAGACCTAAAAAGGTAAAACGCGGGCGTCCGAAAGTTTTGGACACTACGCATGACGAGCAAGTGCAAGCGGCAAAGAAGAAGTACAGAGAGACGCACTCTGATGACATCAGAGAAAAAAATAGTCAGTACTCCCAGAACCATCCTGAGGTGAACAGGGAGGCTGTAGGCCGTTACAGCCAAACCCACCCTGAGGTCAACAGAGCTGCTGTTGGCCGTTACAGCCAAACCCATCCTGAGGTCAACAGAGCTGCTGTTGGCCGTTACAGTCAAAATAACCCTGACATACACCGGAAGGCTGTTCGAGAGTACGACTTGCGTCATCCCGGAGCTTCTTCTGGAAGAGTGCAGATTTTCCGTCTGAAAAATCCTCTATTTACCGATCTTCGTCACTTGCCAGCTTCACTTGCTCGAAGCATTTCTGATCACGGTCCAATGGGGTCTTGGAAGGGGGAGCTGTTGAATGATATTCCAGCTTTTAGTCTTAAAAAAGTTAGTCTTTGGGACAATGATATTTTTAAATGTATGCACTGTGGCGCTCCACTTTTTGAGGAGGAAAAGGGTAGGAAGAAGTGGTGTTGCGGACAAGGGGCATACAACGTCCTTGATCTAAGTCCTCTTGATGAATCCTTCTATTCGGATCGGCGTTTTCTCGATAGGGCTCGTGCCTACAACGACCTGTTTGCGTTCTGTGCTTTAGAGGTATCTGGTGGGTACAGGCACCCCAGTGGTCTCTCTTTCTTTAAAATCGAAGGGAGAATGTACCACCAGGTCTACAATCTGTCCGACCCTGGTCAAAAGTTTACCACTAAGGCTGGGGACGTACAGTTTGTGAACCGGTCCCGTCTTTACATCGACGACGGTGAAGAACGGCGGAACATTGCCTTGGGTAGATCACTTGACGGTGACGTTGTTGACTCTATCAATCGATACCTGTCACAGCAGAATCCATACGTCACTCACTATCGGCGTTTGGGTAGTGAGCCAGCTGTGAACGCTCACTTGGATTTCCAA